AAAAAATATTTTTTGTCCGATTCATCGATTAATTGAAAAAATAATCGGCCGATTCATCGATTTTTAAAATAATCGTTAGTTGCAGCCCTAGTGCTGTTTAAATGAATCTATGGTTCTTCATATTATACACATTAAATGGGTTGAGCAGGTTATCTGTACGTTTAATTACATAGTAGACTCCTAACTGACTGAAGACAAACTCTGACTCATAAAACAAACTACAAAGTAAGTAAGACTGCCCTTATCTTATTTTAGGGGAAGAAATATTTATTCCATTGGCAGAACATCTTGTTAACCTGCTTAGATTAAGGGCAAATAATTATTATAAGGAATATTTACTTTACTTTTTAGTTCTAGATCAATATTGCAATGAGCCACAGACTAGAGAATGATCTAAACTCCATAATCAGCTTCCTCCTTAATGTTTTTGTTTGTTATTCGGTCCGTAGAGATGTCCTCCCACAGAACTTCGACAGCTACAGCTCTGAAGTCCAGAAGCTGATCTGCACGGCCGACCACCTGGGATTACTGATGCAGTACGACACTCCAGGATTCCTACCAAACAAAAGAATACACAGAGGTAACTCTGATGGATGCTGCACTTCCTGAAATCATCATTTTAAACATTTAAAAGCAGTAAAACACAAAGCATTTCTGTCTTCTAAAGCCATGGGTTTAGCGACACTGGAAGTGATGCAGGCCATGCAGCGCACATGGAGCAACTCTAAAGTACGAGTTAATGGAAAGACCCGGCAAATGCTGTGGAGAGACATGTTTGACATCGCCGTCAAATGGAGGAGGTAGGAAATGTGAAGCGTTTATAAAAAAACAAAAATATATTATTTTGGGACAGCTAAAGAGGAACAATTATTTTATTAGTCTGCATTCATGGAACTAACTAATATGTCTGCAGTCTTGTCTTACTTTGCACTTTCACCATAGTTGGAAACTTTAGATATCCAGTCAATGTATGTTTAAGTACTTTACTGTTTTTTGCAAGAGATCCGAATAAAAATAAATGTTTATAATGAAATTTATAGTGATAAGTTTAAGTATTCTGTTTGCCCTTCAAACATACGTCCTCCATGAAAAACATCTCTTTTTTGCCTGTGATTTGAATTTTAACCTACTTGCAACACAAATTTGACTAATGTATTTGACTACCTTTCCTGCCTCTGCAAATACCTTAAACATCTTAACCCTGGGGGAAAAATGTACGTTAGCATAGCTTAACTCTCATAATGTGTTTTCTGGGAGAAGAGGAAAGAGTTTTAATTGTTTCTTGGATTTAAACTTAAAAGAAAATGCCCCTTAAGTTGTAATATGTAGCAAACCGATGAGCTCTTTCGCAGCTCCTTACGTTACATCTGTCTTGTGTAACATTATGTCTAGACAGAAGCTAATAACTGGTTAAAAACATGGGTTTGAAATCTGAGAACACAGAGAATGTGGAACTAAACCTCAGAGAATGAAAGCTCCCAATTAGGCAGCAAATCTGCTGCATTTAGGCTTCTCCCATGTACTCCTTTTAAAATAATCTGAGTATTTATAAGCCTAATACATGCCATCTGTTAAGAAGCAATGTTTTTTAAGCTTAACAAATAGAGCTATATTATTCTTATGTTGGATCAGGTGGTTGCAGTGCATCAGATTCCCCTACTTATTGAGTCTAACAATAAGAAAATGCGAATTTTGGAAGTGTTTGGCCAAATTCCTGAACAAAATCTGTCATTTTTTCAAGAAGACCATTGAGGAGAAGTGTTTCCACAGGCTGATAGATTAGGAGAACATCATCTAATATAAAGCGAATGCAGAAAGTGAATCAAAATACGGTTCAGCAAAGTATTAGCTGAAGGTTTTTCACATTTATCCAGGCAGGTAACTGTGTGTTTATTTTCTTTGTTTTTACTCCTCTTACGTTCATCCGTTACATTTTCCAAGGTTTATGTCTCATTAAAGATTGAAAAGAAGTTTTAAACTTTGTCATTGTTGCATTTTAATTAACCAGACATCTTGCTCTCTTATATTCTACCATGAAGAAATACCAAATTAAAAGAATGTGGTTCGGTTATTTACAGAGATAAACATTAAGTGCAAGGTTACAAAAACAGAAACATTTGCCTAAATCATTTAAATGTTTGTTTTTAGTGAAAAACAAACAAGAATTAAGAAATGTTTTGTATAATTCTTTATTCTGTGTCAGCTATAATGTGAATAATAGGACAATGTGATGCTAATATTTTAGAAAAAGACAAAAACACACCCTATTTCACAAGAATGACTCACATACTTCTGAAAATATGTCAAGGAGAGACTTAAGGAGGGATGGGGGAGGGAATGCAGGCGTATAATAGAGTTGGACCTTTCCTTTGTCGGACACTTTATAATCAGGCTTTTCCTGTTCCTGTAGGATCGCAGATCCAGACCAGCCGGTCCTTTGGTTAGATCAGATGCCAGCCAGGAGCCTAAGTCGAGGCTTTAACAATCACATCAATCTCATCAGGTAACCACATGGCGCCTGAACTGTGTCCCCAAAGCATCTCAAATATCAACTCACAGAAACTCATCTTTAGTCTTCTAATGTTACTTTTTTTTCCATTTCAGGGGGCAGATTATTAACATCAGATACCTGGCCTACTTTGACAACATCCTAGAATTCATCAAAGACAGAATATTAGTGTACCACGGGTAAATTACAGCGTTTCTACGTACAGAGAGAACCTTATTAGTTCTCTTTTTCTCACCATGACTCTGAGATCATTAAAAGGTTTTTGTTTTATTTCACCTGGATCAGGGCGTATAACCCAAGAGGCCTCCTGGAGGTCCGCCAAGCACTTGAAAATGTGAATAAAGTAGAAGATCTTCTGCCAATAATGAAGGTAAGAAAAAATGAGGAGAAATTAAGTGGATAGCTAAGGGACAAAAATAATTAATATGTGATTTTAAAGTGTTTTTTCCAGGATTGTTGGTTATGTGAGTTTATTTCTTGAAGCAGTTTAACAGTAAAACCAGAGACGGATTCACGGTGAACTCCAAGGTGCCGAGCCTGAAGGATGCTGGGAAGGAGTTTGACGGCTTTACAATCACCATCACTGGAGACAGGTGACATTAGATCTGTGATACAAAGACCAGAGTCAGAGGTTCTGGTAGTTTCCAGATCTTCTGAAAGTCTTTCAAAGCTTCCTTTGGGCTTCAGCTGATTGTTACACGTACAGTCCAGTAAGATTCATTATTGAATCAACAGTCGTTAAGGAAGGAAGGAAAGCGGCGGCCTCCATGAGGCTTCTGAGCCCCTATGCTTCCTTAAGTCACTGAAAGCTGTAATATCGTTATGCATTTTTTTTCAGAAACAACAGCAAATAACAGAAGTAGAAAAGTTGCATTAAAAAAATACTGCACAAAATCAGTGCAATGAGTGCAATTCAATACCTCGGCTTCAGACGTCCCGCCCCCTCCACAGACGCTCCGCTGCACCTCTCCCAAATTGTGGCTCACCGCAGACAGGAGGCCGGCTTGTTTTGTTTCTATGACCGAAATTGCGGAAAACAACTCGTGAAGTTTGACCCGCTAGAAGAGCGAGGTGCGCGAGAACGCTGGGACCCTTTTTCCACCTGGATCTCCGCTCTTTTTGGCCCTCATGTCCCTCCGTCGTCGGACTAAACTCGCCCCCACTTCCTCGCCGCCTCGGCCGTATCTAGACCCACAGCGTGTAGCACAGACCACGCTTCAATATTGAGCATAAATCAAAAATGTCTGTGTCAAGCTTACTGCAACACACTGCTGTAAGAGTATAACCAGGAAGCGAGGTAGGAGGGCAAAATAGGTTTAGCGCCACCGCAGCACAGGAGGGAGAATTACGCCCAGGAGCAAATGGATAAAAAAAACATGAATCGATTCTTGCCTCGATTGGACGTGTCGATGCATCGGATCGTTGGCTGTTGGATCGATGCATCGATACAAAACGATTATTATTTACACCCCTAATCATAACCAGAAGCAAATATTTATAAGTTTACATATTATATTTTGGACCTCTCAAGATTTATAGAACAATTTATTCGATGCATTTTTTTCTGTACAATGAATACTTTTATTCTTTAGAACCTTAGATGTTCTGTGATGTATAATTAAAAAATAATGCATTGTTTGGATAGAAAGGTTACATATAGGTATTGATTTAAATTTCTACTGGTTTAATGAGAAGGACATGTGTTATGTAGGCATCGTTTACTCAAGAATCATTGACGGACTGGAAAAAACAGTTGTTATAACAGATTTAAGTATCTTTTCCTGATGAGTATAGGCCATAAATACATCCACTATCTATTCATGTATATCAATAAATCCATCCACCATTAATCGATCCATCTTTAAATAATTGAGCTATATGTCTACTTAAACATCCATCCAGACTACTGTACAAACATCTGGGATACAATTATCATAATTCTACTTAGAAACTAAAGCAATGAAGTGGCAATTCTGGGATTTATTATCTATAGAACAAAGATCACTATCAGCGCCTTGTTTTTTTTTCGTAGTTTTTTCTATTATTTAATATTTTGTGTGATTTTTGTGTTGGTAGGGTGGGAAACATGTTGTTCTCAGTAGAGACCCAGACAACAGAGGAACGGACGCAGCAGTACCAATCAGAGATCGAGTCTATCTACAAAGATCTCACAGTTAAAGGAAAGGCCCTCATGCTTTCTACTGAGCTTGGGGTAAGATTTCCCAAAACAAGCTTCTCTTCTCAAACAGCCAATTTTGGCAAAAGTGCAAAACAAATATGCAGTCCAGTAACTGTGAAGAATTTGGGGGAAATATTCCTCAGAATAGACATGTGACCATAATATTTAGATGTTCGTTGTCTTTAATATAGTAAACTTCTTTCTGCTGAGACAAAATTTGGTAGTTTACTGCAACATACATTGATCAGTTTCTTAGCCAAATCCATTGAAATCGTTGCTGACTATGTCTCTTTAGTTAAGTTTTTTTTTACAGCAATCCATCATTTTTCTGTTTTTTGTATGTTGTTTTTTTTTTTTTTTTACAAGAACAACAACATTAAACATTTTTAAAGAATATCTTGTGCACAACAACTCCGGTCACATAAAATATTTTATACCTTTCAGTAGAGATGATCAAATGCAGTCCACATTTTTCAGAAAATGTGACATGGCCCTTTAAGTGGTCTCTTTGTATGAACCATGACTTCTTATCGATCCATAATGACAATACAAATGTTCTATTCTTTCATTTCTGCTCTAACAAGCTCAGTTATTTTAGTTCCTATTAGAGCCTTAATGAAAATTAGTTTTACATAAAATTGTAAATGGAGATCTTGCATGTAAACACTGGAAGAAAACCCCCACTCTGTTTATTCTTTTCTGGATCCCTAATGCGTTAAAAGCTCCAGATTTTACTCTCATGTAATAAAAAAAACAAAATCTTTGTCATGTGTTGTTACTAATGTGAACTGCTGTAGAAGGAGGATGTATTTGAACAAACAAAGCTGATCTTCTTGTCATTTTTCTTTTAGGACGCAGATGCGGTCTGCAACCTTATCCTTTCTTTAATATATTACTTCTGCAACCTCATGCCTCTATCCAGAGGATCCAGGTACATTTCTGTCATATGGGCATTGTTATATATATGCATAAAGATGTTTGGTTAAAAAGTAAAAGACAAACTCTAAAGGATGGGTGTTTTTGTCCTCAGTGTTGTGGCGTACTCGGTGGTTATGGGGGCGCTGATGGCCAGTGGGAAGGAGGTCATTGGTAGGATCCCAAAAGGAAAGGTAAACATAAAAGCAGAGAAACAGTCAGTAAAGCTGAACTTCCCTCAGTTTGAACCAGATGTTTAAACACTATGAAAATTTTGATTTTCTTGCTGTGTGACATTCTCTCAAACTGAAGCTTTCCATTTTTTGTGTATTTTTGCATATAAAAACAACAACAGACAGTTTACTAGAATGAAAAAGACTTTGCAAAAACAACAGAGATGTCGATACATTTGTAAGTTAGAATAAGTGTAAGGCATTTTATTTATCTTTAAAAAGTAAAAATATTTTTTTTAATTATACATCAGTAGCTCACTCTGATTGCATACAAAGTGTTTCTGAAAGATTACTGCATCCTGATGGTGATTTATGTGTTTTTTTCTTTAGTTTTTGCTAAGTTTGTTAAAGCCATTTGTTTGTATTTACAATGACAACAGAGGTACGACAGGGGTGGGAAAAGGAAGTACTGCGGCTAAGCAGGATAGCATCTCACAGCGAAGGTGTGAAATAATAAGGAAAAGTCTAAGATCCAGTGTGGAATAAAAATGCAAAAGTATGTTTGATTCCAAAAGAGGCAATCAGATGTCACTGCAGAGTCGAACATCGATGAAACTGCTTATAGATACTGATACCAGCGACAGCAATGCTATTCTTAGTTTCTACAGTCAAATATATAAGATGTGTCAATGTTTGCATTTGGTAGAAATAGGAATACTTTCTTTTCTCCTTTATGTTCTGGTAGGAATCTCTCGGTTAGGATTGATTAGAACATGAGGCTACTGAAGATCAGTTTATTTAATTAATGTGGGTTGTTCTTCCACTTAGATCCAGATCTTTTAAGTATCTGCCTCAGTGGCCACCATCTGACTTTCTAGTAGTTCCATAGTTCTAACAGCAGATGGCGCACATGTCTGCTCCAAACATGCACTACTGGGATTCTGTTTAGGGTAAAAACATTATGAGGAGGGACATTTGCTGTATATCAATTGGTTTTATCATGATCAAATGTTTTTTTTTCTGTCTGTCTGTATTAAAATATTTAAACAAATATGAGAGAATTATGAAAAAGTAAAAAGATTTTGGACCTTTTCTAATGTAATCATGTAGTTGATTTGTCATAAAACACCTTTTTAATTTAAAATGCTGCAAAATATTGTATTTTACACTCAGCCTGAAAATATGTTGACCAGGGCTGAAACAATTAATCGGATTAATCGATCATTAAAACCATTTAGTTATCAATTTATCGTTAACTGGAATATAGAGACTATATAACATGCCTTTAGCTGATAGAGCTACCCACTAACCACCCATCAAGATTGTAAAAAAATATATATACATTTTGCAATTACGATAAGAAACATTTTCATCTGTCAATATGCTCTGTCCAGAACTCCTCAAGTGGAAAAGTTTAAGTTTCACCCGGTTTGATTTAGTAAAACGTCTTCCTTATGGAACATTTGCTATCAGATTATTAAACAATTATTGGAAAAACTAATCAACAGTTTAATCAGTTTGCAAAATAATTGTTAGTTGCAGCCCTAATGTCGAGTTTTTCATTAGAGAAATGTTTGTAGACATCAATACAGATTTTTCATGGCTGATATGGATTATCGCACAATGCAGTCCCTTTAAATAAAACGTCACATTTCCAGGTGATGACTCCTTTAATGTGGTATTTGTTTTTGCCCTTTTTGCTTCAGCTGGTAGATTTCGAAGCAATGACGGCACCAAGTCCAGAAAACTTCAGTAAAACAGCAAAAAGCTGGATGAATCTCAAAAGGTACAGTAAGGAAACTGTTTCTTTTGCTTCTTATTCTGCTTTATCTGCCCTGAAAGCCCGATCTGACTAAAGCTCTTCCTGTTCCCAGTTTACCGAGTTGGTACCGAAGTCTTCCATCGGTAGCAGAGACCTTCCCGTCCATCAGAACAATGATAGAAGTCCTAAACACAGACTCGTCTTCACATTGTCCAAAGAAGTCTTAAAACGTCTTCCAACGCCCAGAGAAATCCGTCAAAGAAAGTCTTAAAAATGGAGCTTCTGCACAACTCAGCAAAGGCAGAGACTTCTACTTCCCAAACATCACTGGATCCCGAAAAAAGTTTAGCATTGATACTTGATTTTTTTCAGTTTGAATACATAAAAAAGGAAAATGTTCTCACTTTACTCTTCCTTAAATATTCTCTAACGATCACTTTTGGATTTATTTATTATAATTTGACTGATATGCTTCCAAAATAACCCTGGTCATTTGTTTCAGATCCAGTTTTTGTAAAACAACAGTTAAACAAAATCACAACTTGATGGTTAAAGTGCATCTTTGGTTCTAATCTTTTGTTTTTAGCTTGTTGTTTATTTCTCCCTCACTACCAGGCTCTTCCAGTCTGTTGGAAAATAGAAGCGATTGTGTCCACCTTCGCTTTCTCTCTACGCGTTGAAGTACCAAAAGCACAAAACATTGAGCATATCCACATGAGGATTATCTCAACCAAATCTCATCTTAATTTGCCCTAGATTATAAAGCAGGTGGCTTAGAAATAATTTAGTTTTAGGTCAGCGTCTAAAGAACAGTTTGATTTGATTGGCACTTTTAAATCTTCCACCACCAGTGTGGATGCAATAAGATAAGAGTTGTAATTAAAAACATTTGAAAAAACCTTCAAGGCTACTGGATTTTACTTGAGATACTTTTGAAGCAGCGTGTCTTATTTCTATCAGCGCTTACAGTCACTTTGTTCTGCAGCTTTTTCCTATCATCTGCACAGTAATGCAAACCAGCATCAGTCAGAGGTGTTCGAAGACTAGAAAAAAGTTATAATTACCTTAGAACATCCGATCAGAAACTCAGTCAAAGCTGTTAAAGCTAACAAGCTAATCTAATTGTATAAATGAACGCAATGGGTTTGACTTTTTAATAATCTACTTTTAAGACTTATAGTTGGATACAAGACAAATAATCTAAGTGATTAAAGCAGAATCTATATTTTTGTTGTGGTTGATTATATTTGCATAATTAAAATAAACAGATTCATCTGCATTCAGATGGTTTTAGGTTTACAAATAAGTTTTAGGATTTATCTATGTATAAAACCAGCTTTCCGCTGTTCTTTAATTTGAACTGGAAACACTATTTTTTATTTTCTTTACACTACCTATCAGACCCAGACGTTATATTGATTATCCAGGTTTTTATATGGAGCACAGAGATTATTTCCTACCAAAATTCTTTTTTTTTTTTTAACAATAAAAAGTGTCAAAGCTGATTTTAATTACAGATACTTTATGAAGTTGCTGAAATGGTTTGAAAGTCAAAAAGAGCATAAATTTGGCTTTTATATTTACCCAAATAATTCATTGAAAAGTAAGTGTTGAGTTTTACTACTTTTCATTATTTGATAGAATATGACCTTTGAGATGGTAATTTTTAACAAAAAAAAAGAAAAAGGAAGGATAATGTTCTAAAATTTGCTCTTACCGGAGTTCATATCGACCCAGCATGGGGTTAAAGCACAAAGAAGAACTTTTCCTTAGATTTATAGGCTTTAAAAGCTCAGTTTGTTAAAACAAAGTGGGCATAATCATGCAGTATTTCACTCCAGTTTCTGACGGGCCTGCTTTGTTTAACAACTAACATTTTTAATTTATTTCATATGTGCTGACTGGTTGTAATCATCTCGCTTTGCTGGGACATCAGGTTCAATTTGGCTTAAGATTTATAGGGGAGAACATCTTTCAATATTATGTCCTAAATCTTGACATTGAGTTTTTTTTCTATTGACTGAATGTTGAACAGTCAAACTGGGCTGGAATTTCACTGGGCTCGTTATTTTTTATTTTTAAAGCCATCAAATTGAATAAACTGAAAAATAAAATTCTTTAAAAAAGCAAGCCTTATGTAGAAGAGTAATCGCTCGAAACTCGTTAACCATCATTGTTTGCTCATCACTGGCAGCAAAAACTCCCTTCAAGAGTTCTGGAGCACAGTGTGATCCCTTTACATCACTGGAGAAGTCGTTTCTAATTCCTCTACACTGGAGGGTTTCTGAGCATAAAGACTTGTTTTGCCATAAAATCTCCACTTAGTTTAAGTCGAGACTAAACGTATCCAGAACCTTTATCATAGAGTTAGGGTTCCATCAAATCAGCCCAAGTCTTGAGGCAAGAAATCAGACCCAGAACATAATTTTAATTTTACTGAGAGAATGATTTTCTTAGTTTGCTACTTTTCCTGAAACACTATTAATTTGACTTCAGGTAGTAATCATTCAGTTTAGGTTTTATTAGATTAACAGCGTTCTGAAACAATGTGATAATTATATTACCATAGTGCAGTTAAATCTTAATGAGTAAATACTTCAGTTGCCTCCTTTCACTGGTTATGTTTTACACAAATGCTGCTCAAAAATATAAATTTGTTTGGGCGAAATGAGAAATCAGGTTAACAATGGTGGTCAGAACTAGCAAAAACCTAATCTCCCTGAGTTGGGCTTCAATTTCATTTTAATAGATATATTTGTCACAAATGTTTTGACTTGTGTCATGGTTTACCACAAATTGAAAATTTGTCCCTCATTCCCATTTGACTCGATCAAATTCCAAGTAACATGAAAAAAATACTTTCTTTATGTTAGGAAAACAGAGCTGCAAATTTTTCTTTTGCTCTGTCTGCAGGTCCAACATCCCTTTAATCATCTCGCTTTGCTCAAGTCGCACAACTTCCTCCATTTGCATTGCTATTCCATTATGTTTATTTATATAAGGCCGATTTACAACACGCATAATCTCAAGGCACATTAGAGACAATTCAGTCGGATTGGTTAAACGTTTCTGTCAAGGAAAACCAGCTCATTGCATCAAGTCATTGACTTAACAGAATTCACTCCTGGATGAGAATGGAACGACACGACACACACTGAGCATGCATGCAGCGACAATGGAGAGAAAAAAACTCCCCTTTAACAGGAACAAGAGCTCCAGCAGAGCCAGGCTCAGTGTAAGACACCTTCTGCAGACGGCGACTGGAGTTCACGAAGACACTGGTCTCATGAATATGATTGACCACCCAACTCCCAGATGATTGACATGTCGAAGCCCCAGTTAACTCCTGTACAGTACTTTGTGCAAAAATAATTAACTGAAGTAAAAGTGCGGTAACTTAATAGCCTAGTAAACTAGCGCCACAATCAGTGCCCCAGGCCCTAGAACTGGCTGGCCAATCACAACGCAGAGATTTGTTTTGAATTTCTGGATGCAAAGTGGGCGGGGTTTTGAGGGCGTGACGACAAAGCTGCGCGGTGCGGGAGAAAGCACAACAAGGAAGATGACAACAGCTATTGAACAGTTCTCATTTGACTCAGCTTTGGAATCAGTTTAGGAAGGATTAGACTTGGGTTTTTTGTTGAAATGTAAGCAGGAAGAGGATCTACGCTCATTCATTTTTAAGAAGGACGTATTCGCCGTTTTACCGACAGGCTGTTAGTTTACACTCCCCCACCAGCTTTCTGTCGCGCTCACTACGTCACAGTCAGTTGGGCTCATTGGTCAGAGCGTTGGCCAATAGGCACAGACATGGTTTTAATAACAACGGGTTGTTCTCATCAACAATCTTCCGATGTCTCATTTATCGGGGCAAGACTAAATTACACATTTAATCTCACATTTAGTCTGGTTTATCACACTAGTAACTTAATGCTGATGGGGGAAAAAATGTCCCAGGCCTTGTCTTGCTTAACAACGATTTGAGATCGAGTGTTCTTCGTTCAAGCCAGCATTTTATTTAATATTTGACCTTCAAAGGGTAAAACAGATGCAGCGTTTCAAATGTTCCCACCTGTTCTGGTCAAGATTTCATTAACTACTAACACAGTTAATCAAAAACAAGTTGCAGACAGTGGAAGAAAACTGTATAATGTTAAAAGAACCTTGAGTTCTAAAGCACATGTACAGTTATCAGTGCAAAATGTTACTCGAATGAAAGTAAAACTTACCTGAGCAGTATTTAAGTAAAAGTTACTGAGTTACATTTTATTAAGCAAACAAAAATCCTGATCCATGTCATAAAGGATAACAGGAGATGTTAGCCTAAAACTTGTAATCAATAATTAATAGTAACGATAAATAAAAGGATAAATTAAAGCCTTGAAAAAAGAAAACAATATAAAAACAATAATGATTTATATGGTTAAATGTTAAACTACCTGTTCTTATTTATTTATTTGTTTTGGCTTCTCTATGCCTAACCATAAACACATTCACACACCGACATATACCAAGTTGCGTTTTAAATTGTTTTTTTTACATGGTTTAAATTGCATGCAGGAATCTCATTTGCGTCGAACATTTACTTAAATGTAGAGTTTAGACACTTCAATTGCAAATGATTGAGAAACAAATTCATTCTCAGCAGTCTGGGGCCCCCCTGAAATAATCCCCCCCCCCAAGCAAATACAGGCTACATTCACCACTGAGACGCAGACAAACAGGAAGGTAGAATCACTAATCAATAAATACTCTGTTGGAGAAGGTAACGGCTAACTAGCTCCATAGGTGGCTCTGTAAAGACCAGAAGCAGTTACACAGATGAGCCCTGAAAGAGTACATGCCGTTAATCACAGCACTAGCTGGGCTAAAGGCCATTTCTAGGAGAGAAACTGGACTAAAAACTGAAAAACTGAACCAGCTATATCTAATATAACTGAATTTGCCGACAGACGTAGTCCAGATGGTCTCTCTCTCCCAATGAGCGACGTGTGTAATGCTTCTGCGCATGCAGGGGTTAACTGAGGTCAGAAATTTCAGCTACCAAGCAACACATCAAAACACGCCATAAAAATGTTATACTAGTGCATGTAGCAAACTTTTAAAAATTAAGGCTTACAGATATTGGTTTAAAGGCTTTAGTCCTTAAGTGATGCATCCAACAATGGGTGCGCTTTGAGCTATGCAGGATTAAGGGAATTTAGAACATGAAAGGTGATGGAAAAACATGACTGCAAGGCTACACCAAGTCCACGCAAAGACAAGTAAAAGAAGAAATGTGTTTGTAAAGCACCTTCCAGTCTACACAATTTTCCTTCAGAAAAGAAAGATCCAGACTTATGTACTAAAATTTCAACTTTACTTTATTTTTTTATATATTCAATATCTTTAAACCATCCCGAATTACAATGTGTTAGATGTGCCGTTTTCATGTATGTGACTGTACTGATGCAGAACATGCGAGAGTAGCCAGTTTAAAAAAAAAAAAATTTCAGTTCACTATTGCTGTATGCAGTCCTTGTTGTAATAAGCAATCCATGGCGACTGCAATAACGCTTTAAATCATCAACTTTCCAAATCACAGACAAAAATTTATTGTACCCGTACTGCACTGAGCAGCCTGAGATTTGCCATTTGCTTATGATATCACAGCTAAACAGAGAACCAGACAGGCCAGATGTAGCTACTGGGTACAATAGGATATTAATTTCACACGTCTTGACTTCTAACAGAAATATACCTCTATGTTAAAAACTCTGATAAAATTGGAAACGGAATGTTTTAAACTTGGCTAAAGAGCTAAAGAGATGATGTTTT